GATTTTTTCGATTATCTGCAAAACCAAAAAAGCACAAACGGTGCGCATAAATGCATAATTGAGGCACAATACATAAAAAAATTGGTTCATTTTTAGGCTAATGGGGGGCTAAGTGAACGGACCCTATGATAAATGTATGTTCTCTTGATTTATTTTTTGACGGTCATTCCATTGAATGCGATTGACGACTGCGTCTTTTCTCTTGCTATGGAAATTCATAATAGCTTTGAAATTTCTTATTCGATCCGTAAACTCGAGAACTTAAGAGGCCGTTCTCTGCATACGACTAGGAAAGCGCTTCAATAGAAATTATATGGGTCGAATAGCGTGTCTAGGTGTGGGACTTAGTATAACATTTTGAGTAAATTGGATTCTATACCGTGTTGTTAGGTGCCGATGTAAAGATAAAGGACACATCTATGCCTCTATTGTAACAGATTTTTGATTTAATACTCGAATTTTGCATAAATAATTGTAGAAGTACTTGATATTTATGGTATTTTCAGGTGCCGTAATTATTAATATTTAAAAAATATCAAAAATATGTTACAAGAGAGACGTAGAAAAAGGTTTAGAAGCAAACGTGCCGGCATGGCGTTTTCGAGTCTTCGTTTCGTAAAAGTGCAATACAATTTCTTTCATGAAGCCGATTCGATTTAAAAAACCTTTCATTTCACATCATAATAGATTATATTGCACTTCTCTCATTTGAATTTTAAAGTTGTTGTTTAAAGTAGTACTTAATTCCAAATTTTGTCTCAAAAACATGTTATTTGTGCATTTATATACGGAAACAGCAATTAAACAATATCTGTAAATGCTCGCACAACTGACTGACAGTATATTGCATATTCTGAAATATCCCAAAACATTGTCTATAGGTACAATAATAGTAAAGTTTAATTTCGATCTCAAAGTCTACATAAGGTAAGATCGTTGGAATCAAGATTTACTTGTAAGTTGATAACTTTGACGTCATTTCCTAAGAGGTGTGCAAATAATAACATGTATTACGTAAGCATAAATTTGTAAATACAGAGATAATATTGCAATACGATCTTCACCTGCTGTTATAACTCCCACGCAGTCTACGAGATAAGTACGCGAAAGTAGCGTCATCTAAAGAAATCTAATCACTTTGATTCAGTTGAGTAGGTGGTATAAAACCTCGATTAAAATTTAGTTACTTTTAATAAGCGGAGTTTGTCCCAGAGGGCAACCTACGGAGAAACTCCGTTAAAGTGGACCCTTCAAAAAGCATTGCGTTGTCTTTCTATTCAGATTTATTATTCAATGATAGTATACTAGATAAGAGTCTTAAAGTTATACTTTGTATGGGGTTAGCTTTTTTTATATTTCTATTGTTATATACAAATTTAAGGGGAGTAAAAGCGTATTATTATTATTATATTATTATATAGGAAGTACCTACCAGGACCTTTCTTATACCAGTTATATCCTTAAGAATACTTGTACCAGTTTTCAAAGCGATCGTACGTCGTGCACATGATACGTACGCCTTTCTGAAATTAATCCTAGCGATTTTGGAACAGATCCATTTTTGACCATCCGTTTGCATAATAACTTGTTTAGAAACGTGCGATCGCTTTGAAAATTGGTACACATGGTTTTAAGGATATAAGAAAGGTCCCTATTGTTTTTAAGTTACGTAGACTATCGAGTTCGGTATTCAGATGTATCGGATTTTTATATTTGATTTTGTGACAATGGAAACTTTACCTAAACATTTCTAAATGGTTCTCAAATATTTGAATAACTTAAAAGTACTGCCTTTTTTTGAGGCTGGAAAAAAAGTGTTTTCCCGAGAAATTTGGTGCAGTCGATTTTTGGTAAAAAAGGAAGGTGCCTTTTTTTGAGGCCCGAAAAAAAAAATTGTCTCAGATCGACCCGGAACAAAAATTTTCTTATAGAATGTGGCCTGTAGAATCCATAATTTCAAACAGTTCCAAGATTGGGCTACTAGTTCAAAAGTTACAGCCCTTTGAATTTTCTTTCGAAATGGGTTTCTAGTCTATAACTTTTGATTGAGAAGTCTGATCGAAAAAGTACGAATTGTTTTGGATTCTACGCACCAAAATTAATAAGAAAAAGTGTTTTCCCGAGAAATTTTGGAGTAGTCGATTTTTGGTAAAAAAGGAAGGTTAAGTATTCAAATACTATGCGAAGTATTCGAATACTTCTCAAAGTATTCAAATATCTTGCGAAGTATTCGAATACTTTACAAAGTATCCAAATACTTTGCGAAGTATTCGAATACTAAATATTGTGAAAGTATTTGAGTGACAAAAACAAATACTGCTTCCATAAAAGTATTTAATTACAAAGTATTTGAATACTTTACAGGATTTGAATACTAAAAAGTATTTAGAAAATCGAATACTGCCCAGCTCTGGGTACAACTTAACCACAACAACTATCATGGCACAAAAAATCGCTTAACGCTGTCAATTAAAAAAAAAGCAAGCAAACTGCGCCACAGGAGTGTTGTAACTTGTAGGGACCATAACCAAGTGTTAACATGTCAATTAGGTTGTGGGGTAGTGTGTATCGGAATATTTTTCACCACTGCAAATGATTCGAAATACAATTAGGTTAAGTATCATGTTTATCTGTAGTTAACAACTTTTTTAGTTGAGGGTTGCATTTGATTTTCGAAACCATTTTTGGAGTAAGTTAGGTTGGGTTTCCGTAACCCCCTTGGACGGCTCACTGACAGTTAATTTTAAATGAAATTATTCTATGATCTGACATAGTCGCTTCTGGAGTGACTTGCCAGTTTTTTATGTGGTCAGGGTACTCGATGATGCCAGACTGTGATCAATCATAGTCTGGCTTGGGGTAGTCACGTGGTCGTCCTGATTGAGAATCTCTAGATTAGTACTTGTCAGAAATTCAAGTAATGATTTACCCCTAGGGTTGACGTTAGTGCTCCCCTATGTAGTATGGTGAGCATTTGAACCACACCTTATAATGAGGTGTTTATTGTTTTTGTAAGTGTTTTATCAGTGCTGCCATCTCATTACTGAGAGGTAGGTGCTTGAGCTTTACTATGTATGTCACAGTTTAACTGTATATAGTCGTGATACCACTGTGACACAGATTGGCTAGGAACATTAATACATGTTCTAGGTTTTTCTTGCCGTGTATCAAAGAAAACGGTTCCTTTTGTGCCCCCAATAGCAGAAACCCTCGAATTAACAACCCTGGGTTCTTGTTCTGCTTTACAGTGAGGCGTCTGCCTAATGTCACAGCAGCCGCCCTACAGTGTTGCAGATTTATTTGTTTAAAATTCTCTTTCATAATTATGTATGTAGACAGTAGCTGTGTATTGATTATCCGGTGTTGTTAGAATCAGACTCCAGCAGCGCCTAAATATTCGCAAACTCCTCCCAGTTCAAAACCGACCCGTGTGAGTTGCTGACGCTGGATCACAGGTTGTCTTGGCAGCCTGGGCGGTGATGGTTCTGTAGCTTCTTGCAGTTGCCCCTGTAGCAGCTGCTGGTGTTGTTGTGGTGGTTGTACTGACGTACTCCCCACCGTATTATGTTTGGCAGGGTTACTAACCCTCACTTTTAGAGAGGAAAACCCATAACTGAGCCTCCCTCTCCCCCCTGGCGATTAGGTTACCTTGGTCTTTTTCCTCAATGCCGAAAACTATCAGCCTCCCTTGAGGGTCATCCTTCACGGCTGTGTGGAATAGACACCAGCTGAGGGTTAATGGTATCTGTGATCGCTACTTTGAGCGGTGCTCCAGCCTTACTGACACTCGCCTTTGGTTGGGGCTGTGCTTCTTCGTCGGCGGTTGGGTCGGTGTCGAGTTATCCGATCTCTGCCTCTTTTCCTCCCTGTATACTCATTTTCCCGCTTGACGGGAGTTAGCTCTAGGAGCCTGCGTCTGAGTCTGTTGATCCGTTTGGGAAGCATGGCGTCCTCTTTTGTTCCGCGCCAGAGATGCGCTTTCATGGTTTGGTGTGTTGAGGTTCGGTGACCTGCAACAGAGTTTGAGGGTTATCTTGGGACGCTCCCTCTGTTTATTGGTTTTTTTGTCAGTATCCATGTCAGACACGTGAAATTTCGTCCTCCCAGCTCCCCACCCACCACGGAGCTAACAAGGATACCGTCTATTCAGACGCTATGGCTACCAGGAGAATATAGCTTTTAGAGGGTAGCAGAAAACACGCCTGGTTTCGCTTCGAGGTAGGTCATTCGAGAACGCTAGTCAGTCTACTGCTACTAGCCCTCCAAATGCTCACCCAGTCGGCGGTCTTATCCGATGACACAGCAATTCTTTTTAAAGAACCGATTCTACCCTCTGTTCCTTTCTCTTTGGAATCTGGCACCTTCTGGAATTTGTTCAATTTCCCCGCAGTACCTCCTCCATGAGTCACGTGTTGCGTTCCTTATGGTCTTCTTGTATTTGGTGTGTGTAGTTTGGTATGAACTCGATTCCCCTGTGTTTTTTGCTTTATTAAAAAGCTTCCTAGTCTGTGCCTGCAATCGCAAGGTTCGCAAATGGTTTCTTTTTTAGACATTGGTCTCTTTTTTCAATGCTGGTCTCTAAAAGTCTCTATTTTTCATATTTGGTCTCTAAAGTCTCTAAATTTTGCATGTGAAAAAAGTATAATTCATAATTGATAAACCGCGGAAATTTTACTGTACATTTTTAGCGCATTTTTTAAGAATTAAAAAAAATGTGATCACGCTCATTCGCTTAGGTGGTTCCCCTATCCGCCACCTGGGGACGCGCCTGGTAGGGTGCCACCTCTCGGGAAACATACAGCTTACACTCTAAATGAATTTTGTCCTTTTTAAACTTTCAATTCAATTAAGTTTCATTTTAATTGAAGGCGCGCGAGAAGAGAGAGAAGGGGGATGGATGACATTTCTAGTTTTATTTTTGTAATTACTTCGATTTACCTCCATCTCTCATTGTCTAAATTGATTGTATCAAATACTAAGACATACTTCTCCTATTTTAGTATAACAATACGGCAGAAAGCAGTGAATTATTTGTGAATTGCTTAGAAGCAATGGTAGAAACGTGCCTTCCCGTCGAAGAATCCGAAGGAGAGAACGGAGAGATGCAGCAGTATTCGTCGATGTTAAGCGTAAGTTCAAATATGAACCTGTCGTCGAGCCTCTCGAGCCTGACGATGGGTTCGCCGACCGAAAAGGATCGTTTCGAGACGCGAGACTTGGAGGGAGGTACGGCGACGACGTTAGGCCGGTCTTCGTTTAGTAAGCAGCGAAGCCTAAAAGCGAAACCTCCGTTACATTCGGACGGATCACCGATTCATATACCGTAAGATTAATAGTTTTCCTTTTTAGATCTCATTGTCTTTGCCAAAATATGTATTTTATAAATTAAGAATTTAAATGTGTAGGTTAATGGGGGAGAGCACCAGTTGCCGAGATTGGTATTAGTGAGTGATGTGGGGGGAGCAGGATTGTAAAGGACCACATTTTTGCATTACAGGGTACGCATTTGCATTTTGGGTCTTTACAAACATGTTCGATCTCATTGTCGGGGATCACATTTTTAAATGTTTCTAAACATTGAAGACACCAATTGTACATTGTCCGCTAAAAAATGCTTTACTATTTGTACTGCTCATTTTTTCGTATTATCAGGTAGGGAGATGTAAAACCATTCAATGAATTATGCCTTGCAAATGCCACAACTTCTGTTTTTAAGTGTAAGTCTGGGGTGTGTATGCGCTAAGTGTTTATAGTGTGCGAAAGAGTGCAGAGTGTATGTGTACATAAATCCACTATGAATATACAAAGTATACATTTATAAGTTGTGCCAGATTCCGCATCAATTATTTAGGGCAAGTGAAACATATCTGCATTTTTAAGAACGTTAGGTCTTAAGTCTGATCACAGTCATCTGGAGACGTTCTGTCTTACTACATTTTTAATTAGGTGAAACTAGTCTTCGACGTGTTCTTTCCAGCCAAAACTGGGAAATCTCTCAATGATAGGAAAATATATAGTTTCACAAATTGCCAGGATGTTGCTTTTTCTTGGAACATCAAAAAATTTTTGTACATGGAGCAGGTATGAGAAATTGAACTGAGTCTTTTAAAACAGGACTGTTGCCCTAGTCTTGTGCTGATCTCAAATTATGATTACAAGACTTCTTTCTCTCTTAAATTCATCAACAAAAATCACAATATGGTAGGTTTTGGTCCTCATTTTTTGATTTTTTATACGTTTCCCAATCTGTGCAGTTACTCGTGTGAATTGAATTATTTATTTGTATTGCTGACACTTTGGAAACAATATCTTGAAAAATGGCAGCTGTAGAAAATAACGCTCGTTGCAAGTGAGTCAGCGAGTCATATGAGTTAGATGACTTTTGGAGAAGTGGTTAAGTAAACTAAGCATAAAACGTTCACAGATTCTTGCGTAGTGGAACATAGCACTGCGGCAATGGTTAAGATTTCTAATTGAGAAGGAGGATCAGCACTAAAAACTGGTCTTGCTCAAAATGGACTAAGACGTGATTTTTTACTCTTTCTGAGCTTTTTTATTAATTGGCACGAATTTTTAGATGGCTGAAAAGTGTTTCCTACTCTTTTTTTTAAATGATGAAGAATAGCTGATTATTAAGTTGTCTCGCCAATATGGAGCCCATTAAACACAAGAGAGTCCATCTTGAATTTTGTTTAGACACTCAATCTCAATAATCGTAAATTAGTAAATAAAACTGCAAACATCTTCCATGTAACTATCTTGAAGAATAACGGATAACCAGACAATTCCACTCTCTGGGACACCCTGTCTGATTTCCTTGGAAAAAAGATAAACCTTCTCCGAAAATACTTTCATTTTTTAATTGGAGGAGCCTTTCAAGTTGGCCTAATGTTTTGCGTATAAGGTAAGTAAATTACTAAAGACAAAATAGATGCATGGTTAAGTTTGGTGGTCATAGCAATGTACAGGGTGGTCCAAGTTGGAAATTTCTTATGGAAACGCCCTTTACTTTAAGAAAAAAGTAGGCTTTAAGGTGTCTGGAGCCCAATTTTAAAGAGAAAATCACTGGCGCAAACAGAATTCAGCTATCTGTGATCGTTTGGTCGCTAGGCCGCGTTTCATGGACCATCCTATTGGAGTTTTTGAAAAGGGCGCAAAATTTCCTAAATTTGGATGTATCACTCATTATATTTATATTAAATATTATTTCTAATATTGCATTTTATACAATAAAATATTTTTATTGCAGGCATCTGGGTTTTCATGGCGAACAAAAGATAGCAGGATTGTTTAAAACGACAATTTCTTGATTACCTGCATTATTTATTTATATATTATATTATTTATTTGTTTTATTCACATGAGTTTTCACACCCTTTGTGTTTTGTGTGTTATGTTTTAAAAATATTTGGAACGAATAAAAATTACCAAATAACCAAGAAATTATCATTTTAAACAAAATCAATGTTGCAAAGAATATTTAATATAAATATAACAGTACAAACTACTACATCAACATTTAGGAAATTTTACGCTCTTTTCAAAAAGTCTATATGAAAATATGTAGTTTAGGGTCGTATATGAGAAACCAAACACCTTGTATAAAAACTGTGAATCGCGATGGATTCTACATAAAAAAGTGCTCTAAGAAAGATTTTGCCAAACTCAATTATCTTTAATAATAAGAAAGTTATCGGGCATTAAAGAAATCGACCAAATTTGAGAAACGCCCCTTAGCGGCCAAACGATTAGACATAGCTGAATTCTGTTTGCGCCAGTGATTTTCTCCTTAAGCTCCGGACACCTAGGTCCATTTTTTATTTCTTAAAATAAAGAGCGTTTCCGTAAGAATAGGTATCCAACTTGGACCACCCTGTACACATACAAAGTATCCCGTACAAGACCAATATTAAATAAAGTTTGTGTAAGTAATTATGGTAAAAAAAGTAAGAAATACATGATAAATGAAAAAGTTGCAAGGGTAGGATAGTCAGCATGATTGGTTCTGATGCCATACAGAAGTTTTATGCTGCTGCAAACACGTTTTGTATTTAAAGATTCCAAAGAAAACCGCTGAAGCAACAATTCTTGAGAGTGTCCTATCGTGAGTAATACATCAAACACACATTATTTTACCGTTTTTTGCTTACTTTTTCTTACAGACTCTAGAAACTGTAAACCAAGGTCATTTATGCAGTACCTAAAAGTCTTATTTGACAACCCAATACTATTGTAGTAAATGTATGGGTTGAAAGGTAACTCTGTATCTTACTTTAAACAGTTATTGAGACAGATTGTCGGTTTTACTTGTTAGTTTGCTAGCAGCGATCTACTTTTTATGCTTAGGATACATAACCATTGTGTTTTAGAAGAAGGTATACGATTGTGTCCGAGTGTCCGCAGCAATTGCTTCTATGTAAATATTTTATGTTGTGTTCCTTTATATTTGCCACGCCTTTGCCTACTGTGCGCATATCTTGCCAATTACACCTTCGGGAGTTAGCTAGTGGTAACCACAATTTTTGCTGCATATGACCTTCCATTATGTCCATTCTACCCATCTGTTGTGCAGGTAACAGTAGCATATTTTCTTGCTTTTATTGTCCTGTCGAAAACATGGCCAATAGTGTCTAGCATTTAGAAATTATAATATTAATCTGTGATGGCCTTTCTTTAAAGTACAATTTTATGACTAAAGATGCCGTTATTAATTATTAAGTTTTGTGTATTAAAATGTTTCTCTAAAGATGAAGGTGCTATTTTCTATGAATTCTGCTACTAATGTTGTACATAGTAATAGTAATTTATTCTTCTTGAAATTTTGTTAGCGTTATCTTTTTATAGTCAAATATTACATTATATCTCTGGTCTACTTTTGCTCAAAAATAAACAAATATTGCAAGATGTTAACACCACAACGAAAAAACAATGCACCAAGTTTACCTTTTGTTAGTCGTATCTGTACTAGCCCATCGGAATACGTCTTATTACGGGCAGCAACTTACAAAAGTTTAAGTAAGAAACATATACCTCACAAGAAGGAACACCGAAACTACGTTGCTACATTCCACTACACAGCAATATTTAACCAGAGCTCAGGTTTGAAACAACTTCACAAGTCGCGGCTGATGTATGCAATATATTACAGAATTCTTCAAGCTTATACTAGCAGTCAAAATTCCTTCAGTATTCTGATTTAAAGTGGGCTGTACTATGAGGGAAGGGTCTGTATGGTGCATACTCACTTCGTTCAAATCTAGTTGCCTGGTTTTCGTGGGCCAAAAAGGGTTTAATTTATAGGAATGTACCAAAGCTGTGTTTGCCAATTTGGCCTTTGTTGCTATCATCAAAATAAGGTGTAAGCTCTGCAAATGCATTTAAAAACTGCTTCGTGCGCAACAGCCAGATATAGTGCGTTTAATTCTAAAGCTCTTTACGCTTTATATATAATGTATGTAAAACAGCGATATTGCTATCTGCTATTTGTTTATTAGTAGCAAGCCTTCTTAATGAAATTCTACATAAGTGTAACATTGTATATCGTCTTAGTTTACATTAATTAATGTTAGAATTATGATTGTATATAACATGGTAAGAGATTCCATAGAGAAATTGTACTATATTAATTAAGCAATATTCAAATTTAAATTAGTTGCACAAATTATGAATGTTACAAGGCTGGATTTTAACAAAATAATTACTTACAGGCATTCTCAAATGGGTGAAATTGTTGTTAGAATACATGTGCCTATAACTTTCCTTTAAATGCAGTACAGTTGGTTTACACCGGCAAATTGTTTTCTAAAGTCCCATTTGAGAATGTATTTATTACGTAGTGTATATTTTCCTTAATTTGGTTTTATGTGTAAATTCTGTTACTTCACTTGCCAGTAACAGCGACTGTAATTGACCGTACAATTTTACTATATTAAAACAACTGAATCGAACTCAGTATTCACTTTTTTACGCTTCGTCTTAATAACTATAAGGTAGTAACTAGTAACACCATGATTTCCACTTAGTTGCCTTTCTTATAAAAATTATTTTAAATAATTCACATATCGTGGAATGTAATTCAATGTACAAATTCTTGAATTTTTAAGTGGCTGAGCATTATTATTCTGTGATTTTGTTTATCCAAAAATAATTGTAGCTAGTGCGATATTAATTTTATTTTGTCGTATAAAGTGTAAGTATGCTCACCTAATACTTCAATTTTTTAAACATTTCGTGGTACCAGTAATGTTTCTTGTACTAACCATTTTAGAATTTTCCAAAAATGATATTTGGATACGCTAAATTTCATTACTGGTAACATAACTAATTAGAATCTAATTAAATTGTATTACAGCTATTTGTATAAAAAAAAATTTATAACCATCTTATTTGCACCTCAAATGCAATTTAATAAATTTGTTACCTGTGAAAATTATTTTTTTCGCCATTGGTACTGAAGGTACTGAAAAGTGACGCTTTGAAGGTAGGAAGTACCGAAGATGGGGTCAGTGATTCTGTATAAAAAAATTTCTAAAAATTGTGTTTGCGTGATCGCACGCCCTTGCATGGTTGCATTTGCAATTTTCTCTTTGGATTGCTTGAATGCTTCCTGTCGTCCACTGTAGTGGTTGGTTTCCTCGAATTTTTCATTTCAGCAGTTCGTGCAGCGGTGCCTGGGTTTCTGCGGCGTTTTTGATTAACTGTCGCTAATAGTAGTAGTAATATGGCTTGGGCGTGTTCCTTGGCTGAATACTCGGTAGCCTAAGAACTCCCATCTCTTTCTTCCTGACGTGACATTGATCTACGTTTATTACCATTCTGTTATCGTTCAGTTGCTATTAGAACAGTTTTTGTAGGTGCTCGGTGTGCTCCTTCTCTGTCCTTAGATGCGAACATCACAATGGAAATTCGAACAATCTTGTTGTGATAGCTGTCTTGGGAAGGTCTTCTCCCGTGACTGGCATCTGGTAGTACGCCTTCACCAGGTCGATGGTGGAAAATGATTTGTCCTGCCAATTCCTGAGAGAGATCTTCAAGGTGTGGTACCTACTTCGTGCGTTTCTTGGGTACAAGATGTAGCGGTGATTCCCAAGGACTGTCTGAATACCAACGGAAAATTTTGACTTTCGCGTAAACCAGGAGCGCACAAATTGGGGTGCCAATTTAGGGGTGGATTATAATCCGCATACCCTAGCGTGTAGTAGCCACTGTCATTGAGGCGACAGGACGGGAGGTTGTTTACAGTTAATTTCCATAGAAGTGGCGATAGCACTCCACCTTGGGGACATCCTCTCACAGTACTTTTTGCTCTCAATCAGCCCTACGACGCAGTGCAGGGCTGACCCTGTAGATCTTCCTGGGGAGTATGTTATGCGCATCCCTTATATAGCTATCGCACAGTCTTTTTAAAGTGTCTTAAAAAGACATCAAATTGATTGGGCTATATGTTAGTGATTTGTATGCTTAGAACGATTTCACCGCGCAGGTCACCCTCGCCTCATCCACCACCTGACTGGCAACCGCCTAGTCATTTTCCATGGGAATGAAGGGGGCTACCTACCGGCCAGTTGGGGTATGGTGCTGGGGTGGCTTCGGGAAATGGGCGTCTCTTAGTATCTCAGTTGTCTCTGAGAAGTTAACCGTGTAGGAACCATCCTCTCGTCTGAGGCTACAGCTAGCTGGGTTATAATATGAACCTTTTGTTAGAATTTCATTTAGGCGGGATTTATTTATTATCCTTCTCTTGTTCTGGGCCTTCAACAGGCTTGGGCCCAGTTACAGGGAGACCCGGGAAAAAATTTTTGTTATAGAACGTGGCCTGTAGAATCCATAATTTCAAACAGTTCAAAAGTTACAGCCCTTTGAATTTTCTTTCGAAATTGGTTTCTAGGTTATAACTTTTGATTGAGAAGTCTGATCGAAAAAGTACGAATTGTTTTGGATTCTACGCACCAAAATTAATAAGAAAAAGTGTTTTCCCGAGAAATTTTGGTGCAGTCGATTTTTCGAAAAAAGGAAGGTTTTTCTTCACTGCTTTTTTTTTGCCCAGAAAAAAAATTGTCTCAGATCGTCCTGGGAAAAATTTTTCTTATAGAACGTGGCCTGTAGAATCTATAATTTCAAACAGTTCCAATATTGGGCTACTAGTTCAAAAGTTACAGCCCTTTGAATTTTCTTTCGAAATTGGTTTCTAGTCTATAACTTGCTTGAGAGGTCTGATCGAAAAAGTACGAATTGTTTTGGATTCTACTCACCAAAATTAATAAGAAAAAGTGTTTTCCCGAGAAATTTTGGATTAGTCGATTTTTGGTAAAAAAAAAAGGAAGGTTATACACTGCTTTTTTTGAGGCCCGAAAAAAAAATTGTCTCAGATCGACCCGGAAAATCATTTTAGAATCCATAATTTCAAACAGTTCCAAGATTGGGCTACTAGTTCAAAAGATACAGCCCTTTGAATTTTCTTTCGAAATTTGTTTCTAGTCTATAACTTTTGATTGAGAAGTCTGAATAAATGGCAGTTCAAAATGTACGGAGTCTTGCAAGATCTGTAGAGCAATTGTAGTTTAAAGGCCCGGGTTTTGAATAGATAATTTATACAAGTACTAGTGCGCCATCTCCTTGACAATCGATACACTTTCTATCAATTATAGTTTTAGAAGTCTAGTTGAGATGTCGCCACGTCCGCAACTTCTTTTAATATTTCATTTGAATTTATGCGGTTACTAGCAACGTCGCACTTATTATTCCTTAAATGGCAGTTCAAAATGAACGGAGTCTTGCAAGATCTGTAGAGCAATTGTAGTTTAAAGGCCCGGTTTTTGAATAGATAAATTAAATACAATAAGTACTAGTGCGCCATCTCCATGGCAATCGATACACTCTATCAATTATAGTTTTAGAAGTCTAGTTGAGATGTCGCCACGTACGCACCTTTATTTAAAATTTTATTTGAATTTTTGCGATTAATAGCAACGTTGCACTTATTATTCCTTAAATGCAGTGGCGTTTTTAAGTTTTTCGGGGCCCTGGGCCATTCGTTCGTGGAGGCCCTCGGCCATTCGTTCGTGGAGGCCCTCCTTACCCTCAATAAAAACGGCAGATTGGGGAGATTCAAGCAAATCTCTAATTTGAATATGGGCACTCGATATTTGTGAAGCCTGGTTTATAGGCAACACATCATGCTCAATGAACAGAAAACATTTATTTTTGCAATTCGTAACTCCTTATGCATCATAGGAGTATATTTAAAGCCCTTGAAAGAAAAATTTCAATAACAGGTACATTAAACTGAACCGTTTTACAACAACTTTCACACGAAGATCGCACAAACAACACATTTTTTCGTGATTGCAAACTGCGTAACACTTTTGCCTTATTTCCCTGCCAATTTCACCGTTTATATAACCGTAGTTCTATCAAATAAACTCTAGGCTCAATTCTTTAAAGAATAGCTTCGCACCACCGCCAGCTGCTGCAATCATGTAGGTAATCGTTTCGATTTTAACCTTGAGAAGTTTGAATTGCATTAGAATGGGTTTTCTTCGAACTACGATTCTAACCTAACCTTCAATCAACTCCTTGAACATTATCATGATACCAGAATTTTGACCTAACCTAACTAGCACGCTAACCTAACCTCACTAAAATTTTATTTTAACCTTCGATCTCCTCGCGCATTATATTCTCCTGATACCAGATTTCTGAGCTAACCTAACTAGCACGCTAACCTAACCTCACTTAAATTTTATTTTAACCTTTGATCTCCTCGCACATTACATTCTCCTGATACCAGATTTCCGAGCTAACCTAACTAGCACGCTAACCTAACCTCACTAAAATTTTATTTTAACCTTCGATCTCCTCGCACATTATATTCTCCTGATACCAGATTTCTGAGTTAACCTAACTATCACGCTAACCTAACCTCACTAAATTTTATTTTAACCTTCGATCTCCTCGCACATTATATTCTCCTGATACCAGATTTCCGAGCTAACCTAACTAGCACGCTAACCTAACCTCACTTAAATTTTATTTTAACCTTTGATCTCCTCGCACATTACATTCTCCTGATACCAGATTTCCGAGCTAACCTAACTAGCACGCTAACCTAACCTCACTTAAATTTTATTTTAACCTTCGATCTCCTCGCACATTATATTCTCCTGATACCAGATTTCTGAGCTAACCTAACTAGCACGCTAACCTAACCTCACTAAAATTTTATTTTAACCTTCGATCTCCTCGCACATTATATTCTCCTGATACCAGATTTCTGAGCTAACCATGGGCTGCATTTACTCTCAAGATTCACTCGGAACAGAATATGCGTTTATTTTGTTTGTACAGTTTTCAATATAAAAATTATTTACAGAAGTTGTACTTTATTTTCCTCCCCAATAACAAAACTGATAGGAAGATTACAGTACAATAAGCACCTGGTCCTTCGCACTTTGCCGAAAACACTTACAAATTTGGTAGGTATCAGGAAGATATAACGTGAAAGGAGGTCTTTCAGTCCCAAATACACCTGTTCTTTGTAGACAAACTTACGTAAAAGGTGTCTTGCTACTAGGAGAACAGAATTCACGAAGAGGTCTTTTTCTATCACTATGAGAGTTATTTCAAAGCTTAATTTCGATTTAAAAATTTGCCATTCTGTATCGGGATCATATGATGTGCGAGGAGGTGTTTCTTTTCCTAATACTACACCTGTTACTTGTCGACACAGTTACGTAAAAGGTGTCGGGCTACTAGGAGAACATAATATACGAAGAGGTCGTTTTCTATCTCTGTCAGAATTATTTCAATGCTTTAATTAGATTTAAAAATTTGCCAATTCTGTATCACGATCATATGAGTGCGAGGAGGTGTTTCTTTTCCTAATACTACACCTGTTACTTGTCGACAAACTTATCCAAATGTTACAAAAGTTACAGCCCTTTGAATTTTCTTTCGAAATTGGTTTCTAGTCTATAACTTTTGATTGAGAGGTCTGATCGAAAAAGTACGAATTGTTTTGGATTCTACGCACCAAAATTAATAAGAAAAAGTGTTTTCCCGAGAAATTTTGGTGCAGTCGATTTTTGGTGAAAAAGGAAGGTTTTTTTGCCTCGAAAAAAAAAATTGTCTCAGATCGTCCCGGGAAAAAATTTTTCTTATAGAACGTGGCCTGTAGAATCCATAATTTCAAACAGTTCCAAGACTGGGCTACTAGTTCAAAAGTTACAGCCCTTTGAATTTTCTTTCGAAATTGGTTTTTAGTCTATAACTTTTGATTGAGAAGTCTGATCGAAAAAGTACGAATTGTTTTGGATTCTACGCACCAAAATTAATAATAAAAAGTGATTTCCCGAGAAATTTTGGTGCTATACACTGCCTTTTTTTTTGCCTCGAAAAAAAATGATCTCAGATCGACCCGGAAATAAATTTTTCTTATAAAACGTGACCTGTAGAATCCATAATTTCAAACAGTTCCAAGATTGGGCTACTAGTTCAAAAGTTACAGCCCTTTGAATTTTCTTTCGAAATTTATTTTTAGTCTATAACTTTTGATTTAGAAGTCTGATCGAAAAAGTACGAATTGTTTTGGATTCTACGCACCAAAATTAATAAGAAAAAGTGTTTTCTCGAGAAATTTTGGTGCAGTCGATTTTTGGAAAAAAGTAAGGTTATACACTGCCTTTTTTTTGCCTCGAAAAAAAAATGATCTCAGATCGACCCGGAAATAAATTTTTCTTATAAAACGTGACCTGTAGAATTCATAATTTCAAACAGTTCCAAGATTGGGCTACTAGTTCAAAAGTTACAGCTCTTTGAATTTTCTTTCGAAATTGGTTTCGTCTATAACTTTTGATTGAGATGTCTGATCAAAAAAGTACGAATTGTTTTGGATTCTACGCACCAAAATTAATAAGAAGAAGTGTTTTCCCGAGAAATTTTGGATATACACTGCCGTTTTTTTTGCCCCGAAAAAGGAATTGTCTCAGATCGACCCGGGAAAAAATTTTCTTATAGAACGTGGTCTCGATTTTTGGTAAAAAAGGAACAAAACTAGTACAACATGTGGACATTCAATGTATGTATACTCAAAATCATGTGACCAGTGGACATCCATTGTACAATCTTATGCTATCTGGGACGGTGAGCATTTAAGTCCTACCCTATAATGATCAGGTGTTTATTGTTTTTTTCCCAATGTTCCATCAGTGCCGCCACGCCATCGAAATTGCTGGGAGATAGATTGACAGAATCTCCTGGGAGATATATTGAGCTTTACCCTGTATGTGCAGCTTAACTGTATAGTCGTGATATCACGGCCATACGGTTCTGGTAGCAGAAAAACTTCAATGTAGCTAGGAACGTTACATAAATGCACGTTCTAGGTTTTTGTTACAGTATATCAAAGAAAACGGTTCCTTTTTTACCCCCACGACCAGAAACCCTAGATTTATAACAACTCAGGGCCATGCCTTGCTCTACAGTACCTAAGGTAACAGCAGCCGCCCTAAGGCGTTGCAGGTTTATTTGTATAAAATGCTCTTTTATATATTATGTATATGCAGACAAGCTGTCTCTTGTTTATCTTGCGTTGTTAGAATCACATTCTGGGAGCGTCTCAATATTCGCAAACTCCTTCCAGTCTGAAACCGGCCCAGGTGAGTTGCTGACGTTGGAGCGCGCACTGACCACATCACAGGTTGCCTTGGCAGCCTGGGCGGTGATTATGCTTTCCTGCCGAATGCTTAAACATATGAATATTGCAAATTAAAAAAATCTTTCTGAAAATGTTCAGCAAAATATGGAACTCGTACAAAAATCCCAAAAAGTAACTCGAGTCCCACGCCGTCCCGATACTACAGCTGTTCACGGTAAGCGTTTTCTTTCGCGTTCGATCAAATACCGAACCTGACGATAATGAAAGCATGAGCAAAACTCAATCTAAAAGGCAAACTCCTTTCAGCGTTTTTACAACAGCGAACTTTCAGAATAAGGATAGGTGCAGTGCTCTCCAGCCTACAGACTACGAGACCAAAGACGCAGTTGCTAGTTCATTCCTAAATTAGCATAAATGACGTCTGCAAGGAAATAAAGAAACCAGCACAATACTCACTAATCGCCGACGACCTCGGCATGTAAAGTGATTATTAAGAAGTAGGCATAGGGATTTATCTGTATTGTTTTTCCCTATCTCTACTTTTAAAAGACAAAATTTCTTCTGATTTTTGCATCCATAATAACTTCTTAAAACAAATAAACATCAGGCTGTCATATTAAAATTAGTTTGAAAATTGTTGCTTTGGCTTAACACAAAATAATATAACAATATCGAAGCCAAGCCAAAGTAACAACATTAAAATGACAGCCAATTTTTTATTAGAAGTTATTTTGGTTGCAATTAGGCGCCTTTCAGCAGATTTTGTCATTTAAAGGTATAAGACATGGAAAAACAATACACTTAAATCCCTATGTCTATCTTCTTAGTAAATAGCACTATACACCAGAGGTAGTTCCATAGAGAAAATACACTATCATTTTAAACTACGATAAATAGACTTTAAAAATGGATGTGTACCTTCATTCGAAAATAGGATCTTTGGATTTTTTGTTTAAAAAGAAAAGGATAATCTTTCCAAACTTTTTGGATATGTTGTCCAAGAAATTTGGAGTTTTTTGTCTAAAAAACGTTGGAAATTTGGAAATCTTGTCGCATGACCGACAAGATATCGAATCCGTTCCAAATTATTGGATATTTTGTCGCTTTATTTGGACTTGACGCAAAAATTGTAAATCTTCACGAAAACATTCCAAAAAACATTTGGAAAATTAGCCCCTAAAAAGTTTGGATTTCTTCTCGGTCCCTGAAACGTATTAGGGTTTATTGTTGTTTAGTTCCAGGGATGACCAAAAATGAGGGAGAATGAAATAAAGTTGTGATATTTTGATGTGGTAAAAATACAATTTTAATACTTACCCAGTCTTTATACTCTTGTAAAGGTTTGGTATTGGAGAAGGGAATTGAAAATGATATAGTCCTACTAAATATTGTAATATTTTAATTAAAACTATGCAATTCGTTTAAGATATGGTGAAGTCTAGTAGGTATGAACATTACGTACAACCGACAACCAACATCAGATAAATAAATAATGCTGGGAAACTGCAGTTCTACACATGTTGCTTTCAATTAATACATTATAGTAATACTACACTTTTACCTATATTTCATAATAATTTTCTTACAATTAATTATTTGTTTTACTTGGAAGACTCAGTTTTAGTATAGTGTAGTTAGTATGCAAAATTATAATTTTGAATGCTAAGTGTATGTAAAATTAAAAAATCGTATCAAACACACTATACTAACGTCACATTTCTCATTCATAACTTAGTAGTAACAATACAGTACATACAAAAGCATATTACGGGTGCAGGAAAAACTGCGTTAAACCTGGCCCGATACAATATGGTAGGTACCTTATTCGTAACAAATTCTTTTCAACTGTTTAATACAGCGTTTAAGTAGATCACATTTGTACTCTAAAACAAGAAAGTACGTAATACTTCAAAAGACTAAGCTATTACAAGTAGAGTCTAAATCTTTTTAACATTAGATAGGTAATTTGATTTAATAAAAAATAAATCGCAATTTATTTATGCTTCTTATTGGAAGCATTTAGTACTCTAAAATGTAATTGATAATCGGTTTTTCGTTAAGTAAGAGAGGTAGTATAAGTAGTAACGTTCACACAAGCACTAAAGCTGTTGCAGTGTAACACGCATAACCTTAGCCTCCAGTGTCCCAAAGCTCACCAACAAATAGCATAAATTAAATTACGCGAATACAAAGGACAACTTCTAGATTTCAAGTGTTAAGTGTTAAATAATTGATTTGTTATTAAGTACCTATATCCTTAAATTAGTTAAGTAATCGGAATGAAATTAACGGTGTAAGACAGCGAGATGTCAATTTCATAAATATAACGTAAATGTTGTGATTAGTAATTTTTTACAACAGCAAAATACCTAACAATTAACTATCCTAAGTAACCTGTATGCCAATGTGTACAGTTTACACTATCAGTATTGTCATTAATTATGTATCAACAAATACAATTTAGCAAAAAGGTTAAATTTTCAGTTTATTAAAGTAAAAAATATATTGAGCTAACGATGCTTCTACAAAAATTAGTAAAAACAATCGAGTAAAAAAAATAAGTACTGCATAAACTATACAAGTTTATTGTCATTACTGATTTTAGTTTCTAAACTGCCAATGCTAGTACGTTTGGTACTATGCCTTTTCAAAAAGACGGATATGTATGTATTTCAAATTATATGTATATTGAAATCCAAAAATTTTTGAAAAGTCACAGCTTATATTTAGATATGTACAAATACACCCAAAAATTACATTTATTATATATAAATTATATAAAAAATTTAACTAGTATTTATATGACTTTTACAAACATTTTTTTAAGGTTTCAGCACATTTTAAAATTATTGCGTAATATGTATATTTTATATTTATTTATATATCCATACATAAAAAATGTATGGTACAAAACGATAAAAGTAAACTACGTTTGACAAACATTGTGAATTTTTCTTTTAAATTTAAACAAAATATATCTATAGATATGCACATCGAATTTTTCATAGATAATAAAATTAACGAAATATATTTTTCGATTAAGGCATTAAAATCTGCCTGCAGTTTACTTCTACTTTAAATACATACAAAATTGATATTATAGTACCTACATTTCAGTCACGATAGAAGATCGAACGTACAATGTAATAATCCTATTGAGATCAAGGAGAAGCTTACCGAAATTCGGGAGCCTACGCCACAGACGTCTATTTCACTTTCCTGTTGACAACATAGAAACTTAGTACATTTCTTTTAAGACTGTATAGAGATACAATGACCATATTTCAGCCCTAAGATTTTCACGAACGGACAGCTCGGTTTTGAAAAACGTTTTAAAATACTAGATAGGTTTAAGTTTATTATGCAAATATGATGCTAATTGCATGGCTGCACCCCCTTTCATAATTTTTGCTATTCGTCTTTCTTCTTTTCTCTCAGCATTAACCCGTCAGAAGAACACTATCGGAATCAATTGTGTAACCATCAATTTTTCAAATCAGAGAACAAGTCTGCGTCAAATTTCGTCACATTATCTTTCGCAATTTAAACTACCCAGGGGCGCCAACCACTAAGTATAAGTTATTGAGGAGCTCATTTAGGGTTCCCAGATCAGATCATCTGAATCACCTTTGAAATCTGTGCCTTGTATTGTGTGTCGGTGGGGATGAAGTGGTTGTATGTCTATGAGCTTGTGTTTTGTTATAAATTGAAAGTGATAAATAATAATTACCGTTATAAATGAATTTTAAGACTGTGATAAATTTATTGTTGTAAATAATAAATTAAACTACGTAATTAAATTTACGTTACAATATACATAACATAAAATGTACATTTATCATTTAACATAACTATATAGAGGGTAGTTCAGACCACCTGCCCACCCGTTTCATAAATCAGGGGCTTAAACATTTTCAACAATTAGCCCAGAGATCTTACCAACATTGTTTTAAATGAGAATCCACACGTTTTATTTGATCTCGATTTTATTCGAAAAAGTATACAGATTTTATTCGAAACATTTTTTCTAGTGGTGACAGATGGCGCTGTAATCACAGCAACTAATTTTAATTGTGCTAATGCTTATGTAAATGTTTATAAAAAATATTTTACGTAACTGCAATTTAAAAAAAAACGTAAAACATAAAATTCAATTAAATCTACTCACCTCATGGTAATATAATAAATAATATTGAAATTAAAAAAAAATTATAATGTAAAACATTTAATTGGCAAAGATACATAGTGCAATTATTTTCTGTAATTACAGCGCAACCTGATACCACGACAAAATAAATGTTTCGAGATAGGGAATGCTTTGAACGTAGTGAAAGACTTAAATGTAGCGGTAAGAATTTAGGGAACGAAAAGTGTAGGAAACTGGCCAAGTGTTTATAATTTTTTTCATAATTCAAACGTAACTACGGCAATATAATGTGCACCTAGGCATAGGTGTGTGATACATGAATATCAATAATAGTTCAAAGTAGTGATGTGTTCGAAGAAAGATCAATATTTCAATATCTGTTTTATGTGACGAGATACGAAAAATTTGTCAAATATAATTTTATATGTTTCGGTTTATTACTACACATAGAAAATTAAAGAGAGAAAGAAGAGTTCCAGTCAGGGCCCGGGTTATGTTTTTAGCGCCTTGGCTTATATTTTGACAAAAATTATCCACAAGCCCAAATCTAAATTGCAAATAATGAAAAAAAATATAATTTAGGTTTGGAATTTGATTTTTTTGTTTCTGCACATTCATATTCGGAACTTCGGAATTTTTTCGAGAATTTGACGCAAGTTCTGAACGCGGTCAAAGGAAATACATGCTTCATGATCATGAAAATTTCCATAAAATGAGAGATAATTGTACTAGAGAGGGTCTCAAGGTCTCAAAGCGATCCAGTTTGCAATTTTTCGTGGAGGGAGCTTTTTCCATCTATAAGTTGTTTTAACTTTTTTTGAATTGTATAGAGTAGGTACTGGTCGGTCGGAGTAACGTACCTAATCGCAATATCCTTAAAGGAACCAATCTGTGGAAATTAATTATTATAAGTGGATTTACAACTTATATTTCATTTAAATGACAATATTCCTTTGCACGAATTTTGTTTAGGTATAAGGTGTGTATACATATTTTGTGTAAAGCCAGGAATGTATTGTGCATAACAATGTAGATAAGAGAAACGTGGCCATGAGATAGGGGTTGTATTTTCTGTATTTATAGGAAACAAATTGATGTTTTAAATCAGGAATGTAAAAGAGAATTGGGTCGACTATAATTTGTCAATTATTTATTTTGGAATTCGTATTTATTTGTTTGCAGTCAAACCAGAGCGTCAAATTTTGATTTTCAGATTTAAAAAAGAGATAAAACTGCAAACTTCCGCAAGCTAAGGCCTATTTCAATTTTATTGCAGAGCTAGCCGTGGGAAAAATTAATTGCTATAGAAAAATTTTTACCAGTGCCGTAGAAGACCAATTTTGTTTAGTACGAACGAGGGTCTACAACCCTTGTAATGTAACTAATCGTTACAAGGTACACATAGTGAATTTAAACCTGATTGATTTGCAAATGACGGGGAGACATGACATTTTGTGTACCCTGTACATGTACATTGTCTAGATCGGATAATATTGAATTGATAACCTGCGATATACTGCTTTCGATTTTGTTCGACAATAACAATAACGACCAGTTTTGCCTTTTTTTATTTCAAACTGGTGCAACATACAACAAATAAAATAGTACCTACCTAAACCACTGCTAATGTGGAATAGGTATATCGTCAACTACTTACTTCTGGATGATAATTGATGCACTTGTGTGGGCGCTTGCGATAAAGTCCATCTTTCGCCTTATTGGAACAACCCATGCCTGCATCGTATACAATCTCTTGTGGCGCTATACTTAACTGTTTACTTCCACATGGACACAAAGTGTCCACTACTAACAATATTAAATTACTATGTGGTATTTTTTGTACACTAAATGGTCTGAAACACAAATTCTATATGTCGGGTAATGCAAAAGACATTCTTACCTTTCGCAACCCGTCACGTGACAGTTGGTTAATTTCCCCTTTAGTGGATTACTTTGTCCACTAGTGTTTAACCGATCCGGTTGAAGTATGTACAAGTCAACTTTGCGATCGCATCGACGTACACCAAATTGGCTCATGTCGATGCCTTCCATTGGATCACTTTCAATGGGAGGTACCACAAATGACGGGTTGTTTGAGTACGACGGAGGGACAGACATTGGATCTTGTTCACCGACCACATCTTCCCCTGTAGGATAATGTTCGAACGAGTTTTCGTAATCTACATCTGAATATAATGCATCTACAGTAAACAATTTCAAAAAACCTCGATTTAAATATCTATACAACCTTCATCATGTGCGTATGAAAAAGCCCTTCCTAAGACCGAGCTTGCAAACGATAGCCAAAAGAACGCAATTTTTGTTAAACAAGTCAAAACCTTCATTGTTGGGCCGAGAGGCTAAAACGATTTTAGATAGGAACTGAGAGTTGCGTACCTCTTTGTTACCGAAAGCGTTGTGCTCCTGCCGGTGTAATGGTTCCTGCTGTTGGTACATACACCTTGGTAGTCGTACACGGCAATTTTTTTGTAAATTCGATCTTGTACTAACGAATCCATAATCGTGCCGTCGATTTCTCCAAAAAACCTACCTGTATGTTCTGAGTCTTCAGAAATTATTATAAAACCATTATTGTCTAAAACGTAGCAGTCTAATTCATCACTTGCACAGGTTTTGTGGCAATTGGAGGTTCCGGTACACTGAAATGGTGAAAGGTATATTACAAAGACACGAACTCTTAAACGTACCGCTGAGGTAATGTTTACTAGGAAATGCGAAGCCAAAGTAGAGTGTTGGAATTGCAGTCCAACAACGGCAGCCGGAGCTCTATGGCCTTTATGTTCGACAAATACTGCGTGAGTCGCGGTAACCAATGGTTTACCGGTAGAGCCCACGTCATACGGCACGGAAAAAACGAAACTTTCAGGTTCTATAGCGTGTTGATCTACTGCCCTTTTGTACCAAGTTTCATCCATTCCCCTGACATTATTCTCACTGAAGTGTCTGCAAGCAATTGGTAAACAACAGTTACAGTTGCGAAACCATGCCAACGTACGGCTGGTTGGAATCGTGCGAGGGCATAAGGTCCGTCCAACGCAACATACCGCTTCTTGTCGCCACAAAGGAGAGCGTCAATCCAAACATTTCATAGCCTTGGCTGAAAACAGAACTAAGTTAATTACCACCCGTACGCGCACTTTTTTACACAATTGGGGGAGTTCCTTAAAATAGGATACGTAGGTAATTGTTGAGTGCCATGGTCCGCTTCCTCATTCTTGCGATATGTATCTCCGTGAGTGATGGTGCTAATGAGTGTGAAATTGGTGAATTTAGTTTTATAGCTTGTTGAGGCACAGATTCTTTACGTCTTGTGCGTAATTCAACTTGTTATTTGCTACGCTAGGTTTGAATACTTACTCCGTCCAGGTCTGCGTAAATTAATATTAAAGTAATTCGTTTAACAAATACCAAGTTCGATAGTGTAACACAATGAAGTTCCCCGTTCCTAATATTTTGGAAATGTGAGTAATGGATGACAGATGCCTTTCTTTGGAATTTTGATCTCATGCAATCCATTTACACGATTAACTTTAAAATCCGCGTCCCAAAATAAAGGCGCTATGTCGAAAGGTGTTACCCACAATTCCAGTCCACAAATGATGACAAAATTCTCAAAATAAAATACTTAAAAGGTAGGTGTCGAAATAATATGCTCATCATATTTACTTTACCTTTGCAATAGAACCAAAAGTGTTGCAATTGGGCTATTGTGCAGAGATACAATTAGTAAATTAAATAGTTTAATTAATAAAAATTATATCACAGAAAGTGCAGTTACATGCGTCACAACTTTCAACTAAAATTGAAAACTTACTGCTTGTCTTCGGAATGGGAAGGATGCGAACTACGCCTTTCCAATTCCTCAGTTACCATGGCGTCCAAAACTAAAGATTGTAATAATGTTTTGTCACCTGTTTAATGTATAAGGTCAGTCAGAGAAGCTTTTGGATCATACATACAAAAATAGGCATCTTTATCCTGTTTAGTGGATTGGTGATGGTGTGATCGTGGTCGCAACGACATCCACTTCCACCCCGGTCTTCGACTTCTTGATAAAAAATGCAATACCCTTTCTTCGGCAGTTCGGAATACTTGCTCACTTGCAGATCCCCCAGTGTACTCGCAATAAACCCTAAATTGAACAAATGAATTAAATGTTTTTAGGTATACTTTTAGATTTACCACTCAGGATGGACCTTCCAATTTGAGCCTTTAAAGTACTCCGTTACTAAAACATGCTGTGTTATTAAATCTGACACTTTACGTAATATTAACTTACCGTTCTTCTGACTGTGCTTAATCTCCTGTTCCGCCAACAGTTCGTACATACCGTACCCCTCTGGTATTGCTAATCCCAGTGAGAAAGGGGTACCTTCGATTGGATTATAAAAGTACTTGTTCCTTCGCGTTGCCACCCTTTTCTGCAATTAATTGCTTACAATTTATTTGCCACAGCGATTGTTAAAAACGTACCACATGGTCGTAGTGAACCTTAACGTTTAATTCCGTTTCGCCTTCTTTCTGATCGATCATGTCATGTCGTAACTAAGTGAAAAAAAAAAGATGATGGGTTGGCAAGGATAAGATGGTGCTTTCTTACGTCAAGAAGGGCGGAATTGTTCTCCCTCGGTCCACTTTCATTTTCCACTAGTTCAACTTCCGTTAAATCAACCGAACTATACGCCGGTTCTAAGCTTTCTTCGTATTGTTCATTATTGTACTGCAATTAAAGGAAGACATTAGGCGCTGCTCCACCGATTTTCCGATATTTGGACGATGTCTAATTTTTGTTTAGAGCCGCATTGTAATTTGTTTATTGAATTGTAAAGAAATAATGTTTTATAATATAAGGAATATCTTGAATTTATTTGCGTAATATTTGAAACGTTTATCTCATTCCTTTCTCCGGTCGTAGATACAAGTTGCGCTTATCGCAAAAAGTTAATTGATTTTGTGAACAGATGTTTGTCGCAGGTGCGCGTTTAGATAAGAGAATATTGTTTATTTTAACTAATGAAGTAGGAAGTGGAATCGAAGATGCAAAAAGACAAATGGTTAAATAGAAGAGGAAGTGTCTTAACAGGGCCGTGGGCTTTCACCACCGACGCCCAGTTTTGGCTGTTGGAGCCGTGCTTCCTGTTTCTCGGTTTTCGGATGGATTTACTAAAGACTGTCAGTTTTTGTAATTATAAAGTTTAGTGAAGTCTTGTATCACGTATTCGGAGAAAGGTTTAAGTTTTATGTAATAAAGAAGAGGAGTTTTTCGAATTCAATTTAGTGTTTGTTTTTTTTTGTACACATCTGTTTAATGGAAACCTAAGTGTAAGACTGGATAGTTGGATTATTGACATTAAAAGGCATTTAAGACTTTATTTACTCTGTTTCGATCAAGCGCTTGTAGCGTGGTATTTGTCGCTGGCACTGTCGCCACTTTTTGTACAGCAATTATCGAATAAATTTGAATCGAAACTGATCATCTGACTGAATCACAACGAATAACAGGATTTGGAATTTAATTACATTACAAGTACATAAAAGGAAGAAATAATAATATAATCGCAGATATTGTATCAAGAAAGGGGATAGGGGAGGCGGAAAGAAAAAGATTATGTTAAGTTAAATAGGGGAGAAGAAAAGTTAAAAAAGGAATGAAAATGATAAAAAACATACGGGATGAAATTAGAATCCAGATGGGTGCAGCGGAAGTCCAGGTGTCACCGACGGATTGTTGGGAAATTGTGTTGTCGGTTATGTGTGTGTTCGTTTAAGTTCTTGTTAAATTGATCAAAAATTTAAGGGGTGTAGACAATTTTTGATTTTGTGTTCAATTTAAGGGAGAAAAATGTGTTAATTTACGTAGTTTGGACAAAGCCTATTTTTTTTATAGCTGTATTGTAATTTGTTTATTTTGTTTGTAAAGAAATTAGGTTTATTAGATAAGGAACATATCGTAATAATCGGTACTGTCCAAATGTCATGGTACAGCATCGACACGACAACATCAGGCCAGAATAGAAAATGATTTATTTTTAGCGCATTTTTTAAGAATTAAAAAAAAATGCTATTGTTTGCGGTTTGTCCGTCCGTCCGTCCGTCCGTCATTGTATTCTAATTAAATGTCTCAACGAAAGGAACAGTTTTCTACAAACTACTGCCCTTCTTTTTGTTCTCTTATCAAAGTACGCGGTGGAGGGGGAAGGGGGGGGGTGAGTGGAACTAGTTTTATCCTTAATGGTACTCTAATAAAAGGTCTCAATGAAAGAAATTAATTTATACTAACCATAGTCTTCCTCCTCGATCCCTTGTCGTGATCGGTTATGATTATATATATCTTAAAAGTGAATTATTGTTAAAGGAAAGTACCTACAAAGGGCGATTGGGACGTTTGGAAGAAACATAACCATTGGGCATTTAAATAGAATTTGATACATAGCCACTAAGAATAAAACCAAATTTAACGCCAGTTTCAAAATTTTGTTTTGCGCATGCGCAGTGCCAACTTTCTTATTTATGGAGGGATTTAAATGAAATGTGATACATAGTCACTTGGAATAAAAGAAAATTTAACACCAGTTTCAAAATTTGGTTTTGCGCATGCGCAGTTCCATCTTTTTTAATTATGGAGGGATTTAAATGAAAATTGATACATAGCCACTGCCCACTTGGAATAAAAGTAAATGTAGCGCCATTTTTTAAATTTGGTTTTGCGCATGCGCAGTGCCAACTTTCTTATTTATGGAGGCATTCAAATGAAATTTGATACATAGCCACTTGGAATAAAAGCAAATATAGCGCCATTTTCTAAATTTAGTTTTGCGCATGCGCATTGCCAACTTTCTTATTTATGGAGGCATTTAAATAAAATTTGATACATAGCCACTTGGAATAAAAGCAAATGTAGCGTCATTTTCCAAATTTGGTTTTGTATAGGATGTGCAGTGTCAACTTTCTTATTTATGGAAGAAATTTCGTAGGGGTGTTTAAAAAAAATGCGCTTTACCTGCACAAGGGTTGTGCACAATTTGCATTTGTTTAATTATTTTATCAAATAGCGGACTAAACATTCAGTCCTAAAAGTAATGCGTATCATCTACTTACCAATGGGCGAAGGTTGGGATGGTACAATACGTGGCCGTTATTATTGACGATGAATGAATATCCGTTGACACCCAACTGAAATTCATATCTGGAGTTGCATTAGTTTTTCTAATGGGGAAATGCATATTTACCTTGTATGGCGGAACTAACTTTATAATTTGATCGATTGAAACATCAGTACCAACGACGCCTAAGAGATTGGCGACTCGAACCTGAAAAAACATTTTCAACTCAAACTTGAATTAGCGCCGGTAAACACAGGTTAAACGTTTGGCTTTTTTTTCTTAGAAAACCGGTAAACTGGATAACGGTCTAGTAATATGCGGGTAATTGCGCACGAGTTGCATGTTGCGTCTCATGAATGAACCCAAAACCTCAGATTCAACGACAGTAGGTTCAATTGTTAGGCATTCAAAACCTGATCCGTATTACCTAACCTCGGTGTGGTCCTCGCTGTAAGATCTCTGATAACACGTTTTGGTTACACATCAATGCAATCATTCAAAAACTCGGTGATATCACCATCATCTTTCTAAAATTGTGACGCAAATCACATGGTGACAAATGGGTGGTATTTTAGCATGGGAGATAAGTAGAAGTCTACCACTAAAGTTAAGCGTATTCATGCGGTAAACAACGCATGCATTTTTAACTTTATCCCATCTATACATTTCTTCTGTAAAACCGTTGTACTTAGTTAAGAGTTTCATTTACCTTAGTTCTTTCTTTTGCCGCTAGAGGTCATCCGAATGTACGTTTCTGTATTTTCTCTCTTTTGATATTCTTAAGTTTCAACGTGTGCGTAGCTTATTGTTGCTTGTTCTTTTAGAGAAGATTGTGCCTTTGTGATTGTGCCCTCATGGTGGTTACTTGTGAATTTTAATATGCCATAATTTTACTTTGATTAATTCTATAATCTTTTTAGAGAGGTTGTAAGGATTTGTTCTTTTTCTCTCTGTTTAAGCGTAATAAATGTAATTTAGTTTTAATGAGTTTTTTTGGAATTATCGTTGCTATTATACATCCTAAGAGGAAGTAAAAAGCTTTTAGACTTAAAAGAGACTATAAATGTTGGGAATTAATAATGTTTTTCAAAATTTTGTTGATGATCAGTGAAAAAGAAGCGATTGAATTTTGTCCTATTATTTATAACCCATTTTTCCCTAAGCTAGCCTGGTAAGTAACCGTACAAAAAGGTAGGTTCCCAAACGTACGACAATAAGACGTACAAAATTACACGACGAATTTTATACATCGAACCACACCACGAGCCTGAGCACTTTATCAACCCAGCACTCACTTTAGGGGTCTTATAGGAATACAGTGCAAATTACACTTATACGTTTGAAAACATGACTACGCAAAACAATTGTATTGTTGTTTGTAGATGAGTAAATACAGCAATAAGAAGTTTAGTCTATACGAGCCCAAATTGGGCATGGAACAGACTACATACGGTAGTTTTTGTGTTTGTCTAGAAAACGATAACTTGAAAATGGATGGAGATCAGTTAATAAACTAGTAAAATCTGTGAACCCACGCAGTTTTGTCGCTTACTGATGGAACGGTTCTAGTAAAACCCAGTGATCCAGTTTACCGAATAACCGATAAGCCGTTATCCGGCTTTTAGGTAAGTGCTTTTTCCAAAGTAAGCCTAAATGACTCAAAATACTTACTGAATGGTTTCTTCGATCAAAGACTGGAGCGGTAACCGTCGTCATTAGTTGACCTTTTTTCTCATTAGACAAACTGTCGGCCTAAAATAAGATAGTTAGGTTGCATTCATTTTGAATGAACATTACCCTGCCGCCCACATAAACGGGGGTCCATTGAATGGGGTGATCGTTCTGGTACATTACCATTGGCCTTGCCATAACTGCTATGTAATGCAAAATACTTCTCTCTACATCTTCTAAATTTGATATTCTTGTGTAATATCCTGCGTTACATAAAATGTATTGAAAGTAATAGTATGTAGCACATACCTTTGTTACTACATGCCATTGTCTGCATTTCAACAGAACTACTTGAATCGCCTATTAAATATGTAAATACCCTGACTGGTCGATGAGGCCAATTATAAGTTTTAAATATCTCCCGATACGTGGATGGGGCACCGTCACTTATCAACATAATAGCCTGATTACATTGGGAACCCATTCCGTGTTGATTATACTAAAATGAAGGATTAAATTGATCTTGCTCATTAGGTTTTTGCTATACCTTGTGAAGGATGTCAAATGCCGTCGTAAGTGCCGAAGTGAAATTAGCGATATTAACCGCCTTTAAAGTTGATAAAGAATCTTTTAAACGCCTTCTGTTTTCACTGCTTGCCTAAAAGTGGAATTTTTTATCCCAAAGTAATACTTCATCGAGGTGAAGGTGAACACAAAAAGGGATAAGTAGAAAACTTAACCTTCCTTTTATATTAATTTGAACCTTGGTCCTAATATTACATTGTAGAGTAAACGGCTTATAAGAGCTTAAGGTACTTGAAAGTTGAAGATGAGTTTGATTTTCTTGCTCCAGAGATACAGCTCTTGATGCAAGCAAATAAAACCTACTCAGCAGTAAAGTACAAACTACTTTGCCCTAAACACTGGAACGCTTACACAAAATTATCTTAATAGACGAAATTGTAAATGCGATGATCAAACCTTCGTTTTCACCCTATGATTGAATTACAAAATCGCTCTACATTCTCCCTACTTAAATTAGTTACCGAGGGGAATGTTCGCGGGCTAAAAATTGAACAGAAAGTATTTCGTGTTGTTTTTCACTACCTACTCTTCGTGAAATTTACTCTTCTCGATTTATCTGAAGTGTATTTGTTATCCTGTCAAAGGAATTCGTTGCATACGCGAAATTTAGAATCCAATTAGCGTTTATTGATTTCTATAAAATCTTTCGTATCCGGTCCAAAATTTTGTGTTTATCCGGATACACACAGATCAATAATCAGAAACAAACAAATAAAATTAATACCTGGAGTAGTACATCCTTATAACATGGAATGGTTTCCTCGGTGTAGTCAGAAAACTTGAACACGTTAACATAGTCATTATCCGAAAGGGTATCCAAAATTTTGTCAGCGGTCGCTCTAGCGAGTATTGCCCGTTTTCCTGTCATAGAGCCCGAGTTGTCAATAAGGATGACCATGTCTTTCGGTGAAGTAGCCGCGTTAACGTACCACGATGAACTACGGAAGTCATACAAATCTTTCGTATTCCTTGGTCTTTGCCAAACCGATGACATTTCTTCTGGAGGCCACGCGATCCCTAAAAAACAACGGTACTGACATTGACAAAATGGTTAGTTCAGATACCTGGATATCTTCTTAGAAATCCAGTTGAACTCCCAAAAAATTGCCAAGACAATGACGGATCTCCATCGTAGTTGCTAACAAACAGCGGATCTAGGTGTTCCGACCAATGAATAGCATTTAATACACTGGCTTCTAATACAATTTTAGTTAGTCAAACGAAATTCAATCAGTGGAATAAAATTACCGGTCTCGGATGTGTGAGGGGGGAATAATACAGAGCTCAAACTAACGTTAACCGGTAAATGATCAAAGTGAGGATTTGGAGTTAATAAAATTTCCCTCGTGCCTTCGGATGGTTTTCCATCGGGACCAAACACGTTTAGCCTTTTCGCATTATAATATTTAAATGGTTGGCCATTGTCACTTTGAGGTGTCAGAGCGGCTTGTTCTGCTGAATCCATTATACGCTAAAATACAACGATTTCGACAAGTGATAGTTTTACCATAAGGATCACTACGTACCAATACAGCACTCATTTTGAAATCCATCATGTTCTTTACTTCGTATGCCATTTCCCGAAGTAAAATCAGACCATCCTTTCTAACAACGTCGATGTCTACGTCATGGTATTTCTAAAACAAAGGGATATATATCTAAAATGTTATTTTTGCACTATGGTGTACAAATTTGAGCCTTGTGTCCAATTGGCCCAACTGAAAACTTTGTTTGTGAAAAAAACTAGTAACATGTCTTCAAAATCTCTTACTGTCATTGTCACATATAAATATAAGCGTGCTGAGGTCAGTTAGTGGTCCAGAAAAAGATATAGTTATTAGTTAAATCGCACGCTTCAAAAACAACGTTTTTGGAAACTTTTGGGTACCTCCTCCTATATTGCTGCTTATATCCTCTGCTCATTCACTACCAAAAATTTAAAATGTACAACCACTGATTCTAAGAGAGATTATTTTGTAGCAAAGACAGACATCGGTTCAAAAAGTGAATATTAGGATGTATTCCTACTCAGCGATTTTTATACTCCATAATTTAACTTGAGATAGAATCTAGTACCTAGTTTATTTTTGGCATTTTGAGTTATTTTATCCCAAAAAATTTCTGATGCCGTGCCGACAAAGCGAAAATTATTTTTTGAAATCTCAGTTGTTATAGTAAAAAAAGTTTCAAGAAGGGTACACAATATGACCTGTTTTTTCCCAAATTTAAAAAAATGTGTAATGACGTCTCCGGGGTTCTAAAGATTTTTTTTATTTCTCATAGCAAAAAAACTGTTAGGTATAACCCTGTTTATCCGCCTAAAGTCACATTTAGTTGTAGCTCTTTGCTCATTATCCAGCCAAAACTCGAATAACTATGTGGTGGAACGTATGGTAGCTGATACGCATCACAACACAATTATCAGCAAAACCAGCACGGGTGGCATTTTCCCCGACACAGTTCCAATCAATCATCCCCGCCGTCGATTAGGTTTACAAGGCAGCGCGCACGTGCTGGATTTCCTTCCGCTGCGAGCTGTCCTATAGGAGTGAGGAATTACAACGACAAAGCCGAGCTGAAATAGAGGTGCACACTGATCGCATGAAATAAACAAATACCTACACCACTGAATGGATTTACAAGATTTTAATGCAATTGTGCATACTGCTCCTCCCTTCCACCCTGTGTTAACATTAGTTCCATCGCATCCAAACAATGTCCAGGAGCTAATTTGCACATGGCTTTTTTGCAAGTAAGAGACAATCTGCTCTGATATAATTACTGCCTTGGCGGATCGGGTCCAAGACAGATGTCCAAAATTATCGAATTTTCATCGGTTGATGATCCGGTTCTTTAGCCTTATTCTAATTTAAGATCATCTATTTCTTCCAGTACTTTTTCATGTACTATTGCGTAAACACTAATCAATTACCGATTCCCATCTGCCTCCCATGTATGTGCATTGCCCGTCCCTACCCTCCTCCAGATTTCCGTTTAAAATGCTAGTCATCTTTTCTGATAATTCCAGTAACACTTTCCTCTTTGTTGGACTATTTATCCCTTGATTTTGTATCTTGTGGTCTCCTCTACCCATTTTTCTTTAATTCCCATTCTGGCATTAATCCCCCCTCCTCATATTTTCTTAAGTCCTTCATTCTTTCTCTGTTGTATACCGTTATCACTATCATTTGCTTTCTCTGAACTTCCACTCGTCTGACCTGTTTTCCTTCCTCGTTTGTCGTTTCATCCCCCCATTGCCTTATCCCTTTTTTACCGCTGTTAATATAACTCCGTTTGCTCGCCCCTTTCGGAATCCTGTTCTTTATTTTCTCACAATTTTTTTGTTCTATCCATAATTCTACCATCCCTATGACAGCATATCCTCTTAAAAACTCCCAGAATTGAGCGTCTTTACCAGATACCCCCACTACATTCCAGAATATGGTTAGTTGGTTTTTCTGTTTTCTCCCCCTCTCCTCATCTATCTCATTTTTTGCTGTTAGTTTCTCCCTCTAAATCCCGCCCTTTGCTCTCGCGTTCTTTTCCTCTCTGTTCTCACTATTCCTTTGGTTTTTGGTACTCCATCTGTATGCATCATCTTCTACCATTGGTCCTATATCCCCATCTAACTTTCTTGCCCTTTCCTCTTTCCCTTTACGCAACCTCTCTTTCTCTTTGTACCCTTCTTTTTTCAACTGTAATCTGTGTACATCTCGATCCCTATAACTTTCCCTTCACCCTCGTAGCCTCTCTAATCTTTTCTCATGGTAGTTCCGCGATTATTACCTTATTTCCTTCAAACGTATCGCCTCTTTTACATTCGCCTCTATTTGTAGGTTTTCACTTAAGCATTCATCCGTTCTCTCTCGTTCTTTACCTTTTCAATTTCTACTCCCTTTATTCTTCTTCAAGTTTTTTAATCTTTCTATGAGTTCGTGCTTTTTCTTACCCCACTGCTATTCCCTTCTCTTCATTTCTTCTCTTAATCCTCCTATTTCCTCCAATATCTTCTCTTTAATTTTATCTACTTAGTCCGTTCTCCATTCTTTCTCCATGCGTAAATGCATTGCCCTACAGGAGGACGTCGCCTTTTCGTAATTGATCGTAAGTCAAAACATAACTTTTGGCTCCGACATTTATTGTTATCATCGGAAATTGTTCGTCGAACGTCGATGCCGTGTGGCGCAGTTCAGTCGAAGCTGGACTGCGGTACTAAAGGGCCCTAGTTCGAATTCGGGTTCGGGCAAAGATATTTGCAAATCTATAGTGGATTGGGTTGGAAGAGCAGTCTTGGCCCTCGCCCACTCAAAAATTAAGCCAAAAATAAATAAATAAATAAATTGTTGTAAAAGCTTTCAAACGCACTATCTTGATGCTGAAACACATGCACATTTGATAACCGCGTGTGTGTGTGATTAAAAAATGTTTAATTCGTGGATTTTGATTAAAACATGTCAAAATCGTTATTCGTGCACCGAGATCGTTAGGAAAAAGACCAAGAGCATTATCTCAATGCCAAAGACATGAATTTGATGCATTTTTGACGACCACATGGATTTTGACCAAAAGATGTCAAAATCGTTATTCTTGCACCAAGATAGTTGGGCAAAAGACCAAGCGCATTATGTCAATGCCCCACAAGACATGAATTTGATGCATTTTTAGCGACCACATGGATTTTGATCAAGACACGGGAAAATCGTTATTCATGCACCAAGATCGTTGGGCGAAGAGACTAAGAACATTATCTCAATGCCCATGACAATAATTTGATGCATTTTTGTTAACCATAAAATGTATTTTGTAAGATTAAAATAAATGGCCGTTAAAAAAGTGAGGATCCTTCGATATTTCGTTGTATCGGTTTAATCTGTACCTCCTCCTACCCAAAAACTACAGGATATTTAAAAACATCAATTTACGACACCCTTTGTGGTAAACAAATTTTCACATATTTTTTTCATGTATAGGTACTTCGTTTCGCGTGATCGTGTCTTCACTATTCTACAATTTTGCTTCTAATTGTTCCCGTTTTGAAACACGGGTCCCCACAGCTCTCCCAGTCGGATAGTGCATCACATCAGCATTGAAAATAGGAGCAATTGGATATAACGAAGAAATAGAACAAGCAAACAAATGTACTTGATGTTTTTCTTGTTGCAGGGAGTGACGACGGTGGTACTATTTACACAATCTGACCGATGCCTCTATCAGTCCCACCCTAAACTTTAAAGTCCACATTGAAGTAGGTACTAGCAACTAAGTATTGAGTGTTTGTATTTCAAACGTAGGTTACTAGTGCCGGGTTCCTATGGCGAACAAAATGATTGTTGTGTGACGTTCGTAATTCTAAAAATTAATAACCCTCTAGATCCTTCACTCAACGGTATAAGTAGGTCCTATAAGAATAAGTAATTGAGAACAAAGGATATCTAAACTCGGTTGAGTGTTAATTGTGTTGGGAAAAGAAATAAATCTAGATTTAAAGGATGAATGTCTTTGGTAAAATCATCAACTTTGTATAACAGTGAAATGTAAACCTTTTCACATAATTTATCAGTGAGCACAATTATTGACACGATCTGGTTTGGAAAATTTAATAAGCAACAATTTCGAAAAGGAAGTGAGGTAGTGTTACAGAAATAATGTCAAAATTTTCAAATTAACTGTGGAATTTTAAATTTAATTAAAGTGAGAGCAGCGTTATGCTTAACTGAATACTCGAACTTTGTGACAAGAAAATTGAATTAATATCAGTTCTAATAATTGAAATAAAAGCGACAAAATAATTCCTCTTACTCTTTGGAGCTCGTTCATCCTCGTTAGTTCTTTCCCATATGCCCATAAGTCGACGCCGAACTTGAGTGCCCAGTTTTTCACCCTGGAAAGTAAATTAACGAAATGAAAATGGACACTATTTTGTAACAAAGCATACAAAAAAATTTTCAATTTGGCAAAAGGGCGCTTTAATGTAATGATAAAAGTAAAATACGGATTGCAAAGTTGTAGGTCACGTTAAAGTTGGAGGGGATAAACGTGAGGTCTAAGTAATAACCAGTGAATCAATAATATAAAGAAATTAAAATAAATCCGGGGAACTGGTGTTTTATTTACTTTATTTCAATAAGACCCGCGTCTTGTTTATCCAGGTCTTTGTAGATTCTTTTTCGAACAACCCTGCTTGTAAGTAAAATGTGTGTATGATTAAACGATTGGATGATGTACTCCCAAGACAGTGAAATCTTGTTTTATCTAAAGTTGAGCTAAGTGGAAGCAACCGTCGTAAGAACAACCTAAAATCAGATTGTTTGGAGAAAATTCGGCCAAACGCTACCACATTCGTGGACGTAAATGGGGAATAAAAAGGAATTGTTAAATTTGAATGAAAATAATGGAGCATATATAATGAAGCAGACTTTTTCTGACCAATCTGCTGGCAGGTTTTTGCTCTAGTCTACACACGCCGTCGTTATATAAAATGACGCTTGAATCAAATTTGTTAGAAAGTTCAAATAGTCTGCCATTTTTTACAAAAACTTCAGATATCAGACGGAGGAAAACTATGATTGTAGGTCATGCAAACCCTTGTATCAAAGTGCTTTTCGGCGAAATTAATTGTTTTCGGCTAACCTTTTCAACAAATACGTATCGAGGGTCTTTTATTGGCCAACCTTATTAAGAGATGTGGGATGTATCGGAAATTTCGAAGCCTTCAGCATCACCGATGTGTCAATAAAAAGTGACACTAACCTGGGCCAAGACTGTAATTGCCATAAAAAAGTACAAATCGAAGTAAACGTGGTTATTCTTTAAAGCTAAATAGTAAGAATAACGTTGAATCCGGAATGGCGCGAACGATAGCTACGTTTAGAGATAGATCAATACACCCTACTCTACCAGAACATACCCCTTCCTTTCTTAAGACCACCTTACACTCTGACCCCTACTACAGATATTATTCTTTTATAGTATATCTTACGATTTTTTCTATATGAATTTATTTTAATTCAAGTGCCGACATTTATTTCCACGTAGACAATTTAAAACTGAAACGTGCCTACACCTTTGCATTGTGCCGTAACGCAAAAATTTATAGAATAGGTCCTTTATCGATTTACAACTTTGTCCGTTTACACATTTGTATAGGAACATTAAAACCAAATTAATCGTATATCGTGAATTTCTCCATCGTACAATAAAATCAAAATTCCCCAATGGCGCTGAATGTGACGCAGAGCAGAGCGATTATGGGCGCCATTCCCGTTTTTGACACAAAGTTGTTGGGTGTCATATGTTCAAAATGAGGATTTTCCTTATTGCCAGAATCTGAACTTTGTAGTGTAATATAAAGGCCGAAATTTGATAGGGACAAAGTTTGGTCTTGAAATTTCCTACTACTACTGTCATTACTTTGGAGATCTATAGCGGTTTTGGTTTGAATACAGCAACATGATAACCAAGCACGTAGCTAGAAGGAATCTTAACTCATTAAAAATATAAGCATACCTAATGGGGTATTTGGGGGATTGTTTTGGCTGTTACCATATATCTTTGGAGTTGTTTCGCTTTCTCTTTTTGATGTCTGTGGTGTGCTCCATTGATAAGATTTGTTGCAATATATGGCTTAAAAATGTTACTTAATCCCAAAACACGTGTCGTTTTATTGCCCCACCCGGTATATATCGCGACGAAAATTCTGGGAAATACTTGGTGATATCTCTGAAACAAGAAATGCATCTTCAAAGAGGCTTTCAAATGTCTTGAAAGCTTCGTATCGCCTCTACTAGATGCTGCACGTGTAACATAATCATATTAATTAATTAATTCAAATTTTTAATGACGGGCCGTATGAATTATTAACTATGAATTATGTTAGCGGGCCGAACAAAACTTATTGGCGGGCCGGATCAGGCAAAATTCCCACGCGTAGTTATTAAATAAGACACAAGTTTACGGCTTTCGACTAATTTACCAAAATCAATCTCTTTAATTTAACGCAATTTCTCAAAGTAACCAAATCGTTACTTTTTATACAAATCAAAAAGAATAAAAAGAATACAGAAAACAAAAATTTCTCGAATCTTCCTCGGTACGATTACCTTTTATTGTATGAAAATGATCGGGTATTGAACTTTCTACTTATATCGACTGCACTCAAACTGTTTAATTTTCGCTTTCGAATTAGAGCTTTTATTAATCGACACCCCACTTTGACTATGACTTATTCGTCGGAAACGTCCGTTTGTGGTAAATTTATACGTATCTAACGAAAACCCGACCTCGAGCTTTTCACTATTTCCTCTCAGTGAGGTTACCGAAACACTTAAACTTCTTTGTGCGCGTATACGATAGTTCCCAATACGATTTTGCACATATACGTTTATTGAAAGAAAAATCGTTGACCATGTCATACGTGACTGATTTATGCAGAAAGCGAACTTCATTCAGTGAAAGAGGCAATCGGACGGCTGATATATTTTTCAACCGTGAACATTGCGAAGCGTTACCGTATTAATACGTGAGCAAACATTTTTTCGCGTCGGTACATTATTGGATTGGATTGGAAAGCGTTGTAGTCCAAGGTGCAAAACATTCCTTTGCGCCAGATTTGTAGTGACAAGTTACGTAAAGAACAGTTTATTAAAGTTGTGCATCTAATTTGGTGCTCATAACATTACGAACAAAACGGCTACCGGTAAAAAGGTTAAATACAATTAATTCAAGCTTCTATATGCTGTTAAAACCCGAAAAGGGTACATTTTTGACATTTATACAATGAGAAACGTCGGTGGCTTATTACTGCGAATAACTCAAAGTTCAATTAATTAAATCAAAGTAAGCCTGAAGCACAGGTGAGTCCTGAATTAAATTGCGTTTTCCTCAAACGTTCATTGCCTCTCCCAACTATTGATGCCCATGTATCCTTCTACTGCAGGGTGGCTGTTCTTTGCTAGGGTACGGTTCTTTTCCCGATATTAGTCTCCGTAAGTAGTGGTGTTTTACTAACGCTTTTTTTTGTTTGATTAATTAAAAACGCTTTCAAAGATAAATAACGCTTATTTTCAAAAGAAATGTGCCGATATTTAATTAACGTTAACGTGTTTCAATATGTAATGACCGCAGTAGATATGTAATTATCTTTGCAGCGGCGGTTTATAGTAAACATTTATATATTTACATTGATTAAATGCAAACAGATTAGGGATAGATGGCACTGTTGTTGATATATAAAGTGGAGCGGTGTCTACATAATGAGAGTTGCGGACAGTACGTGGATATTGCTAAACATTTGATTTAAAACTGAATTGAATTAGTTACATCATTTTAATAGTGCCATTATATCCATTTAAAAATTGCATAGCGTCGTTAATCATATATTTGGCAATGTCCTACTTTTTTTTATAGATGCGGGTAACAATAATAAAGATATGGTTTCCATTGGGTTCCATTAGGCATGCCTCTAAATAGAATATTGTGTAGTATGTCACTTACTTATTGGGTGCATCGAAAGCATCAAGATCATATGAGTGTCGTTTTAACTTGATTAAGGCATAGTTAATGTAGGAAGTTTTATCCAAGGCCTAAAATTACTTAGAGGTTTATATATTATGCACAGTTTTAGTACGAACAATATCCAATGTTTTGGGATACCAATTAAAAAACCTCATTTTTTTACGTGCTCCAAAATTTTTCGAGGGAAACCAGAAACACGAATCCGAATTTTTTTGCCACAACCATGGGGCTGAGCACAATTTAAAAACCACACACGGATGGTCCTTGTTTATTGAGGCCAAGAACGCATGGAGTCAGGAAAGACCAGTACCATACAAAAGAGAATCCCCTCGCACATCTCTTGTATAACAAGTGGTCGCTTAGCCGTTTTCCAAAAGTATTTTATTCAACAAGAAAATTTACGTATATACCGCTTCATAGCGAACGTGAACAAAACTATGTTTGGAAATAAGAGCGATAACAAATTGTGCATTAAAAAAGTGTTCGTTTTGAGATAAGCAAAAAGAGGTCCCGAGTTGCAAGGGATTTTCGGCGGGAGTCAAAATTAGACTATCTAAGAGAATTTGAGGTGCACTAAGAGTGAAACTACCACGAGAGTCCTAAACTGCTTTAAACATCAGTTCCATCCATTTTCCTTTTGCTGAAGGGGTATTCCTTACCCCTTAGAGCCTCCGGTGCTGTATTCTCTGCAGCACTTCTTAGCAAGCGAGCAAGTTTTTCCTCGTAGTGATCAAGTTTCACTAGCTATATTTTGAGAGAAAAACAAGAAAGTTGCTGTTATTTTTCAATCGCGTCGAAGAGAAGCGGTAATTAAAATAAGATTGGTGACATGCAAGCTTCATTATTTTTTTGTTAAAACGGAAGTTTTATAGCAAAGGCCGTTAATTTTCGACTGATAAAAACCTACTCACATAAGCGCTCTTAAAACCAAACCGCGAGTAAATAAACTGACATTAAAACTGTTGTGATAAATAAAGAAGTTTTTTCGACGGCTAGTTAAAGGCAAGTCCCTCCACGTTGAGTGACGTCACTGGACAGTGTATTGTACGATAAATAAAATTTTGTATACAATGGCATACGGCAGGGAATTTAAAAACAACTAATCGGTGCATTTACTCACAACGAAACCTAGTTAATAAATTGGGCAAAATTAATATCAGCACAGCGGACAATGGCATTTTATTCCAGTGCATAATCACGATCTCGAGTATTAGTTTTGAGAATTTGTAGCCGGTGTGCTTGAATTCACGATTCATACGAATTTTTCTTCCCGTAAAGTTTGCGTTCACCACTAAGACTGAAACATCGAAGCGACTTATTTCCATATTTCTAAAAGAAAGCGGCATTTTCCAAGCGGAAACAAGATTA